CATTCCTGGGCCTCCCCCGGCTCTTCCTGAAAGCAGGGGTGACTGACCAGCTTTCAAGAAGAGCCAGGGGAGACCCAGGAAATTTTGTTTGAGGTGCATGGATACAGCTGGTGATTGACCTCAGCTATCAACAGCTCTCACCCTATGTTATGATAGTTTATCAGGAATTGGATTACAGCAGATGGCAGTATCTAGCCAACCCGGGTTGATCCTAAAGTCAGAGGAGAATCAGAGCCAGCTGGTACTTAGATGGGAGACATGGATACAGCTGGTGATTGACCTCAGCTATCAACAGCTCTCACCCTATGTTATGATAGTTTATCAGGAATTGGATTACAGCAGATGGCAGTATCTAGCCAACCCGGGTTGATCCTAAAGTCAGAGGAGAATCAGAGCCAGCTGGTACTTAGATGGGAGACTACCACAAAAGCTCATGGCTGTGGGCCAGACGGTGAAGCTGAAATAAAATTCCAGAGACCACGGCAAACCACTTTCATCACGGTGCCAAGAAAACAAAATATGTTCTATGAAGTCATCCGAAATCAAAGTCACCTTGAATGTGTCTTCACCTTTTTTATTAGGGGAGGACCTAGTTAGATAACTGGGTTGTTCTTTCTGCCATTCTTGAACATCTACACAGTTTCTTTATTATATCCTTCTAGCCAACAGATTATTTCGGTTGGTAAGAGGCTGGGTTTGAAGGAGCTATTTATTTCCTTAGCTTTTAAAGGGAATCGAGGCTTGTGGTAGGAACAGAATTGATGTGGACAACTTTATGCATTTCTGCTGTTAGCTATCTTTGAAGCCCCTGAAATTGAGAGGTGGGGTAATATAAATATTTTTAAAATATATAGCAGAAGTGTGTGCTCATGCAAGACTAGCTTGTTCTAACATTCTGTGAGGACACCAAGTGAAATATGCCTGAAGATGTTGTGGTGAAGCTTTTACTAGCTAGGCAGGAGACTTCTTGCTGCTCCTCACATGAGATCCTAGGGCTGGAAAGTGCCACTAAGGCCTTTCTACTCAGGGCAGGAATTTAAACTGAAATGTTCCTAACAGGTGGCTGTCCAGCCTCCAATGAATAGGAGCCCAGGATCACTGGTGCCACTGTCCACCTGCCAGTGGAAAAAGTCTGAGGAAGGGTTTCCTAGCATTCAGTTAGAATCTCCCTTCGTGTAACTTAAATCTGTTATTCCAAGTCCTGCATTGTGGAACAAGAGAAAAGGGGGCTTGACAATCTCACTGTCTCTCTGTGCTTAAAGAATGAATGACTGTTGACCTTTGGTATCCACAGTAAGGTGTGTTTACTCTGATGAACATCAGCATCAGCTTCATGGCTTGTTCCACCCAGGAAGCCAGCATTCCAGGGGCTGTTCTCCTTTCTCAGGTCCGGATCAGCTGTTTTGGGGGTCCTCCTCCAAACTCCTCTGCCGGCCTTGCCTAAAGCAGCACACTCATTTTCAAGGCCTACTAACCCAGTCCCTGGATTCTTCTGGTGTCTCCCTACTGTTCTTTTGCATTACTTTCAGCAGCAGCCTTTCTCCCACTCAGATTTTTAAAGAACATCATTCAACTCAGTTGACTTGTTAGAAGAAAGCCATATATAGAATTGCCCTATATGCTTTAATACCTTACTTTCTTTTCCGTTAAGCTACAGACTAGTTTTGCCAGGTGGCAGTTCCCGCACCAGCCTCTTCTGGCCTCCATCTTCCAAGGTTCTTCTTCTTTTCCTGGCAGGTTTACCCAACTGCCATACAGCCATGTCATACAGCCACACCTGTGCCCTTACCTTACAGCAGGTTTGGTGTCGGACACCCCCCGTTCGGAGGATGTGGGTCCACTGCTATTTAATTCTGAATTGGGATCGATGGGTTGTTATTATTATTGGTATTATTTAATAGGCCACATGATATAAAACTTCATATAAAAATACTTTGCTTATTTGATTTTGTCATAGGTAAAATGTTGTTTTAGGAAGCAACTTTACACTTTCCAACTTGCTTAGTTGGAATATCACAGCCTGGTTTTGTTTTTTAATCTCTGCTGATCGCGGTGTGACTGGTAGTTGCTGAGGGCATTCAAGTTTGGGGGAAACGGGGCTTTAACACAGTTTCCCAGATCCGTTCTTTGGGCCTGAAGAAGCTGTTACTGCTTGGACTGGAGAGTTGGTGTAAATTGCTTAATATTGCAGGCGGGCCTTTACGGGTACAAGGCAGCTTCTTAGGGGCCCCCATCACAAACTCAAATTATTTTGCCTCTTTTCACTCTGACACAGTATCTTTTCCACACACTGGGAGAATTTGACAATTAGACTACAGTTCAGAAATGCATTTCCTTTTATTTTTTCCTCCTTAATGGTCACACAAACAGAAACTGGATGAATCTCCGGGATGCAGAAACCGGGAAAATTCTCTGGCAAGGAACGGAAGACCTCTCTGTCCCCGGAGTAGAGCATGAAGGTACTGTGGGGCCGTCAGAGTTTCTGGGGGGTAGAATATTGTGAAGGACTAACCAAGTTCAGAGGTACTCTCTGCGTTGTACTCATTCATACAATGCCTTTAGTAAGAAAACTGAAAACAATGGGGGGGGGCGATTGGTCTCTGCTGTAAGGCCCTTGCTGTCTAGATTGGAACTGTGGGGGAGAAATGGGGCAGTAAGGGTGAGGGGAAAGACTTTTGCCTAAAGCATTTTCTCCAACTGGGTGCCCTCTCAATTGATTAGATTTCAACTTGCAGCTTCCCTAGTCAGAAGTTGCTTTTCCCACCTGTCTTCTGTCTATTATAAAACGTAGTTCTACCAGCTAGATTGTCCTGGGAAGAGTTTTGGAAAAGAAGTCCTTTGGCACTTTTTGAGAATGTCAGTTGGGAGCAGGAAGAGCCACAAGGCAGCTGATTGTCCCCATAGAGAGTGCCCTTGCTCTGGGTTGGTGTAGGCCTATCTAGGCGAGCCCTCTGTTCCCATCCTGGCTGGCTAGAAATGATGGAAAGTCCACAGCTACCCTCTTGAGTTCATTCCCCATCAACAAGATTGATCTTCCACGAATTTGTTTCACAATCCTTGAAAGACGCCTGTCGCAGCATCTTTGGAAAATGAATTCTGCTGTTGAGTGCTGAGCGTCCTTTTTGTCTCTCTGGACTTGTCACTCGGATCAGCTCCCTTGGATGGCCTTGCTCAGGTTCCAGTTCTTCAGTGTCCTCCTCCCCACTTGTCCTCTTGCCTTCTTCCTAAGCAAAGCAGCCTTGGCCTTTTCCCTCGCAAGGGAGTTCTTCCAACCCCCTGTGGCTGCAGAGGTGCCCCAACTGGGGCTGGAGCTACATTAACCCATATAAAGAACAGAAAGAAACCATTTGTGGCGATGTGGGATAGCTTTCACTCACTAAACAGTGAAAAGGGTGCTGTTTTTTTCTGTCTAAATTAGTACTGACGGTTTGTCAATAGCCTGAATTTAATTGCTTGGCTTACTGATAGTTTAAAAGGCTTGTGATTTATCAGCTAAATGCTTTAACTAGCTGGTAGCCTGAAAGTGCTAAATGAAGTCTCCACTCAGACTTTGCTTCTAAACAGCTCACTGCATAGAGAAGACTTTCAGTGCAAGCACAGGTAACACAACATGAACTCTGGACCTATTTCAGTGGGGAGCCTCTGAATCCTACCCTAAATAAGTACTCATATATCTATAAGTAATTTAATGTGTCTTTCCTTAAATTGGGTATGGCATGAGGAGAAGGCAAGAGCTGTGGCTGTGTCTTCCACCTAGATCCAGAATTGCATCAGAAGAGCCAACCTAATTCTTCTCCCAGGCAAAGCAAGTACGGCGCTGCGTTTGAATCCTGCTTTTCCTCCTGGGTGTTGAGGCTAGTCCCTTTAATCATTCCGAAGTCCTGTGAATCAACCTAGGCTAAGGCTGGTGGGCTGAGCCCCAGTTATTCAGGGGATTTCTTGGCTTGATGAGGACTTGGATTCTGGTCCTTGAACAATTCAGTGACTCCTGGGGGACTCTGGTGAGTCGACATCTCTTGGTAGAACGCTGCTCTGTCTGTGGCCACCCTTGAGGCTCGCTGCCTAGAGCAGTTCACCAAAGGAATGGGCTTCGATGGGATCCTGCCCTGGAGTGCTTAAATAAGAAACTCCAGCGCAGGTTATGCCTTTCTTGTAAGGAGATTCAACACCTGCTCTTTCCTTGTCAATTTAGCAGGTCTCGATAAGCTGGGAGGTTCTCGTTTAAGAAAGGAGAAACAGGCAACCCGCTGCTGTCAAATGAAGGAAGGAGTTGCACATGCACACCCCTTGGTTTTCTAGGGATCGTTTGCCCCCTTATTTAATGCAGTTGGCATTGGCTGTTTTGTGTCTTAGTGAGAATATTTGTGGGTCTTTCTGGAAATGCAAAGGCAGGTGGAGGCAGTTCTCTTGGCAAGCCATTAATCAGGCTGTTGGCTTTTTTCAAGATCTGCATTAGCTTCCAAATCCCATAGCCTTGATTATACAGACCTTTTTCTCCCCTGAAAAATCACTTTGCTACCCTGCTTAATAATTTACAAGGAGTTGATGCCTTCTGAACTATGGCCTGGTTAAAAAGCTAAAAATATGAAAGCCTGGGGAGTACATTTAGACGTGAAGATAATTCAGGAAGACCTTTCATGTGTCCTTTGAGAGAAGGGTTGCATTGAAAGAGATTATCACTTCTTACTGGTGGGGTTGTAAGATCTTTATCACTTTTTGAATGAAAACTGGATTTTCCTATCTTTGCTCTTTTCTTTTTCCGGCAGTAGTCAAAATTCCATTCTGGGTGACACCCTTGAACTCCCCACCTTAAAAGGCTTGGCTGCATGTATCTGATTAACACGCCCAACTGCCTGCTGTTCAATGAGGCTTAAAACATTTTGCCATTCCTTTAAGCCTCATTGTCCAGCAGGCAGTTGGTGGGCATTGCGATGCGCATTAAAAGGGGCGAGTCTTCAAGGATACAGTCACAGCTGCCATCTTGACTTTTTTGACCCACCCAGCAGGCATCCCTGCATCTTGCCTGCCCATTTGGGGAGGGGTTCCTTTCTGCTGGTTTCAGCAGCTAACAACCCCCTTGTTGGAAACAATTTTGCATTTGGCAAGTCTCTTCTAAGCCTTGACACAGAATGAAAGTCTTAATTGAAAGTCTTCAAACCATATAATCCTTCTCCCCCCTCTCCCCCATACCCCCCCTCCGAAAAGATGCAGGGAATGGTTGTCATGCATGTCTTCCATAATTATTATAGCATTTTTAATCTGGCTCCACAATGTGACAGTTCTAAGGATCATCTCAAAGGTCATCTTACATTCTGCTGGTTTTCGTCCTTGCATAGGAGAGCAGATGAGTGACTGCTTCATACAGCATGCATGCTTGGAGTGACTGCCTGCATTTTTACAATTTTGGGAAGTGCCTCTTTGCTGATGCTGACATCTGAGTGCCTTTGGCCACAGCAGGCTTTGTCTTATTATTTGGAATGTTAATTTCCACCCCACCCCCTTCTTTCTCTCTCTCTCAGCTCGAGTTCCTAAAAAAATTCTGAAATGCAAGGCTGTATCTCGGGAGCTAAATTTTTCCTCCATGGAGCAGATGGAGAAATTCCGCCTGGAACAGAAAGTTTATTTCAAAGGACAATGTCTAGAAGGTGTTGTTTTACTCTTCTGGGGAGATATGGGCAGTGTCTTCAACAGGGAGGAGGAGAAAGACAGGCAGCTGAAGGAATTCACATTTCTGTGCCCTACAAGAAGTCATTATTTAAGGCAGCTGCTGAATAATCAAATGTCTGCCTGTCTTCCCCCACCCTACCACCCTCCAGGCTGGCTGGACTACATTTTCCATGATCTGCAGCCAGCTTGCTCAAGATTTGAGGAATTGTTGGCTGCCCCACCTGGAGATAATGGCCTGTCGTGGATTCCCTGTCTTACAAGGACTTTGCAGGAATCCACGTCGCATGAATAGCTCCAGCAGTGACCAGCTGGACAGGAGGTGGCTCCCTTACAATGAGTATTACCCTTCTGTTGATCTGCAGGGCCCTCCAAAGGCGCTGAAAGGCCCTCTACCCCAAGGGGCTTGTGCAAGTCAGCAGTAAGAGGAGCCACCGAAAAGCTCCCCAAACACTTGGTCCAAAAACAGCTATCCCATAGTCTAATTGCTCTTTTCATTGTGGGTTGGCTTCTACTTAAATGCATTTGTGGAAACTCTGGAGTTTTCTGTTTGTTGGGTGCCCTGTCTCTACAAGCAAGGAAGCAAACAGTTGATTGGATAAGCCTCTAGAGCAGTATTTCTCGACCTCTGTGACTTTAAGCCGAACGGACTTCAACTCCCAGAATTCAGCTGGCTGGGGGAATTCTCCCCCAGCTCCCATGCTGGCTGGGGGAATTCTGGGAGTTGAAGTCCGTTCGGCTTAAAGTTACAGAGGTCGAGAAACACTGCTCTAGACCCTTTCAAGTCCTGCCCCTACAAGAGTTTTAAGGAGGTGGCTAACTTCCAAGCCATGACTTAGATGGGCAGCAGGTGTAAAGGGGGAGTTTGGATATTTACGACACCTCACCCTCGTCCTCTCTTTGCAGAATGGTTCTTTGAGTTTGGCTTTGTCATTCCAAACTCCACAAACACTTGGCAGTCTTTGATAGAAGCAGCTCCAGAGTCGCAGATGATGCCCGCTAATGTTCTCACGTGAGTGGCTGCCTTTCATCTTCTCACTCGCTCACCCCCCCAAGATGAAATCAGTGACTTCCTGGAACGTGGGCAGGAAGGGGGAGAGGACAGAGGGGCGTCCCACTTCAGAGGTTGCCAGTTCCAAGTCTGTGCCTGTTCTTGGGTGAAAGAAGACAGCTGCAAGCTGAATACTGTGACTCAAATCAGCTGTGAAGGGCACAACTGGCACCAGTTAATTTGCAGATTTTTGGGGGGTAGGGGGAGGGAGTTGCCAGGCATCTCAGCTTGAATTCAGATGTGGGCTTCACCTGATTTCTGAACCAACTTGTTTTCTGCATTACCATAAAACATTGAACCTTAAACTGATCCCAAAGAGGCTGAGTTTGTTCAATACGGCACATCATCCCCCAAACAGATTAAAATGAGCCAAGCCTATAACAGGGTGCGTATCCTTTATCTGACCTAGTTGTATGAATGCAACTGCACTACAGGAGAGCTATAGTATAAAAGCCTAATTTTACCATTTTCCAACAGACATTCCAGGCAGCTGTCAAAATTACCTCTGTCAATAAAGCAGAGAAATCGTGCTTACAATTCTTTTCAAGCCAAGCTCGCCGGCCGCTGTGGCAGAAGGACCACTTCCACTGCAGTAGCCGATGAACCCCTTGGCTGGGGAAACATTTTCCTCGGTGTCCCAAGATTCCACGGGTGCTTGAAAGGCAGAAGTCAAGAGTGGGGCCCTTTTCAAAGGCGTATGCTATGTTTTATGTACCCTTTGGTATATTCAGTTTGCATATTTGTGGCTGGCTCCTTCAGCCTTGAAAGGATAAGTTCTTTAAATTATTCAGTGTGCAAGACGGAGCCAGCCTGGCCTGGGAAACTGGGACTAATGGGACTTTTCTGCAGCCACGATTCCAGTAGGTCACTTGGGCCCTTAATGCGTCTCTTCTGCCATTTAACTGCCAATTTCTCTTTCCTGGTCCCTTTCTTCTGCCCACTCCCTTCTTTTCCCCCTCTGCAGCGGGAACGTTATCATAGAAACCAAGTTTTACGATGATGACCTCCTTGTCAGCACTTCCAGAGTAAGACTGTTCTACGTTTGAGAGCAGGCCAGGGCAGGGCTCGGGCCTGGCTTAGTTCCTCCCCTTACCTGATTCCCGGTGCCGAGTCCCCACCTCCCCCAAAGGCATCAGTTGGATGGAAGACCCTTTAGGAGGTATGGAGCATGGAGAGACGTGTGTCCCTGGCCCGTCCTCTGTTGTCCTTCTGCCTGGACAAGGCCCCGCTGCAGCGCCTTCTAGCCATCCGTTTGGAAATTGGGTGAGGGAGGGGAAGGACTCTCTTGGGCACCCAAATGGGCAAGAAGGATCAAGATTGTAAATGATACTTAGAGTTTTTTTTAGATCTTTATATGTCTCTGTACTTAGTAGCCTCCTTGGTAGGCTGTCAGTTCAGTTCTTCATTGGTTGTTTATTTGTTTTAAGTTAACTTGCTCTGCTCCCCGTCTCTTTTTCATTTTTTAATTCCCTGTCTTCTCTCAGTTTAACTGGTCCAGACTCATTTCTTCCACCATTCTGTTCCTTCAACTTGTAAAATAGACTGCAATATTCTTACATAATGTAATTAAAATAAATTTCTGAATGAAAAAGCAAACATTCCTGTTTTTCTCAGATTTTTTTCTTTTAGTACATTTTCTGGGACAGTGAAGGTAGCATGAAAGGATTCAGTCTTCAGGTTTTCCAGCTTTGTCCTTGTGTTCCAGTTGTGCTGGTCTCCCAAACAGAATGCAAAAGCGAAACTTTCCCACACTAAAAGTTTGTCTGTTTATTTCCAAGTCTTGACAGCCCTGCAGAAGAGGAAGAGCACACCAGAGGGCACGTTCACACAACCTACAAGCTCTTCTGTAGAGATGCTACCCATCCTCATTGCCCGTATGGAGGCCCTTAGAGTGCTCCATGTCTAATGGCCCCTTCCAGCTCTGAATCTTAGGAGGGACCAAAATGCTTAAGTAAGGAAGAAGTCCTGTTATTCCCAAAATCGTTCCCTGAAATTCTCCCAACTGTGGCTCTCTGGGTTCCCAGAAAACAGGTTCCAAGTGCATGGGTGTGTGTGTGTGAGAGAGAGAGAGAGAGAGTGAAATCACTCCCTTTCAATTCCTCCATTCCTTGAATGAGATGCTGTGGAGAATTTACAGAGGCTGTTTCCATACAACATGCTTAACTCAGTTTCTAAACCTATTTTTGGGGGACACACGATGCATTGAATCATAAGCTTGCCCCACAGGCTGGGTTCATGCAATATGCTAAGTCACTGTCTGAATGTGCCTGGTATATTTTACCTGACCCTGTTAAATATGTTGTGTAAACCCCCAAAGGACTAGCTCCCTGCAACTTGTTAAATCCAAATTAAAAAGGCACAGTTGTTCTGCTTGCACACTATATTATGCCTGAATAAATTAAACCTTAAGGTGATGGCTTGGTTGACTGAGCACGTGGATCCATGGGATTCTACTCCAGACTTTCTCAACCGTGGCAACTTTAAGATGTGTGGACTTCCACTCCCAGAATTCCTCAGCCAACATGTGGACTTCCAGAATTCCCCAGCCAGTGTGTGGACTCCCACTCCCAGAATTCCCTGGCCAGCATGTATGGGCTTCCACTCCCAGAATTCCTGGGAATTGAAGTCCACACATCTTAGAGTTGCCAAGGTTGGGAAACCCTGTCTTCGACCAATGTATTGTGCAATCCCAGCCCAGCTGACACTTTTAACTGCTGCTGGGAGAAATCACTCACCAAGAAGCTGAACTCTCATGGCTTCTCTGGTGCAGTGATATTGCTGCTCAGTATTGATATCATACCCTGCCTTTCCTCCAGATGCTCAAGGCAGTGTAAATAATACTCTTCCTCTGCTTTTCCCCAGAAGAACAACCCTGAGAGGTAGGATTGAGCTGAGAGTGACTTGCCCAAAATCACCCAGGGAGCTACATGGTTGAAGGTCGACCTGGGCTTCCTGGTCCTGGTCTACCACCTTAACTGCTGTGCCACGTTGGCCTTACAAGTCCATGCACACATACACATTCACCCTGGCATTAAGGATTCTCCTGTAATTTCATTTAACTCGGCATTATTTTGCTGCTTGGACTTTGCAATCAAAGGACCATTGATTCAGCCCATCTTCCCAAGATTTCTCCAAGATGGCAATGTGTTTCTGCTGCCATCTTGTGGCACTTGGTAGAAGCAGTGCCATCCCAGGGTGGTTCATTTGCTCCTAAGAATTGGGGCTTCAGCTAACAATTTTAATTGGGACAAATCTTGGCTTCCAGAACGGATGCCCCTGAGACCCCCTTTTGAGGATTGAAAAGCTGTAGGGCATCTCCGAATAGTGCAACTCTGGGTGGGGTAAAACCTGTTCCTTTGCCAACCTCAGCCATGCCATGGGCACAGAACTGGTTGGCTCAGTTTATGTACCCCCCCGTCCTCCTAAGGACCCAACCTCCTAGGCCAAAGCCAGCCTTTCCCAGCCTGATGTCTGCCAGGCATATTTGGACTGCAACTCTCTGAAAGACCTGGCTGCGTAGAAAGCCATGGAGATGGCCTAGGAGAAACTATGCAGAGACCATTACAGCAATAAGTGCCAAAACATGCTTTGAGCCTGGGAAATAGGAAAAATATTAGGAAGAGGCTGGCTCCTCCCTGGGGTATAAGAGGGAGGGAAGAGAAAATGCGGGCAGACTTGGAAGATTCTGTTACAAACACCCGTCTCCATAAAGTGTAACTCTAGTCTTCAGCTGGAGCCTGTTTCCTGACCACCTCTACCTTGAAAAGCTGACAGGCTGTGATTCTGTCAGCTGCAGTCAAAACGTCTGGAGTCTCAAGCCCTCCACACTACAACTCTGACAGGCTGGTTTGCACAACACGTGAATTTTTCACACAATGAATTGCGATCACATGACCGTGGGAACACTGCGATGGCTGGAATTTCAAGGACTGGTCGTAAGTACTTGTTCAGCGCTGTTGCAACTTCGAACGGTCACTGAATGGTCTGTAAGTAAGGACTACCTGTGCATTTATATGTCAGTGGAGGAAATCTGATTTCAAAAGAGGGAACTTCTGAAACAAAAGAGAATTAGTAAAACTTTCAAAAGTAACACACATCTCTGGAAAATTTCTCAAAGCTGCAAGAAAAGTGTATGCTGTGAATCAGGAAAGTTACCACCACATCAAGAGGTTACCAGCATGGTTAGCGAGTAGGGCAAGAAAAACAGAGGCTAGATACTCGTGGATGCCTCCAGGGGTGTCCACTAAGGAGACATAATTTACAACGTGGCAGTCCAGGGCCACCCCTTTTATATATGCAAGCAATACATGCATGTCCAAAAGGAGCGGGGTAACACCCCAACCTCTTACAGATTTTTGGCATCCCGAGATGTCTCCCTGGCCCTTGCCAGACTCTCTTTCCCACCTGATTGATGGACTGATCGTGTGCCATCAGGTTGTTGACTCTTAGCGACCACAGATTTCCTCCAATGATCTCTCCCTAACTGGGTCATTCAAGTCTTGCAATGGTGCTCCCATCACTGCTGTAACTGAGTCCCTCCACCTTGCTGCTGGTCATCCTCTTCTTCTCTTTCCTTCCACTTTTCCCAGCATCAGAGCCTTCTCCAGAGAGCTGGTCTTCTCATCATGTGTCTGAAGGAGGATCATTTGAGCCTGGTCATTTGGGCCTCG